TTCAGGTGATCCTTTCGCGCTTTAGCATAACTCAGCACAAGGTGCACCCCACCAGTTGCAAGTGTTTAAGACAACTAAATATTGGTATTCAAACCGGGTTTGAATCCACGCAAATGTCTGAATGTCTGAATGGCAATCTGAACGCAAATGTCTGAATGGCTGTCTGAATGATTGTTTTATACTTTGATTGTGACGATGTATAATGAGTACTTTTGAACTTTTTTTTTTAGTCGGGTGAAAAAAAAAGCTCTCTCTTCCTTAATGATGTCTTCCATTATTACTCATGTTGTCTATTTTGCTTTCTTTTCACAACAAAAATTGTAACAGGGTTCTATCTGTTGCAGGAAAGAAATGCACAGGGAAAAAAATGCAACACTAATTTTGCACTAGCAGAGTTAATCGCACCTTCGTACTTTGTTTAGAAATGCCATGAAAGTGGGAGACAAAATGTCTTTGTTACAGCCATGATATCTGGCTAGTTGATCCCTTGTGGTGTTGATTGCAAATGCTAACCCTGCTGCCAGTCTATCTCAAAACAAGAGTATTATTAAAATTGTCAGCCCATCAGAATAGGCTGTCCTTGGCTTCATGTAGTACCTTAGACTGTGACTATATGAAACTGTGGTTATTTTATAATTACTGTTCATCTTCCAATAGATATAGAACCAGAATTAATTTTAAAAGAAAAAAAGTTGTAGTTTCTGCTTAAGATTATTTCTTTCTGCTCATTATTATTTTTTGTTTACTTAATTGCTTCACATTTGTTTCATTTGGTTTTATTAAAAGTAGCACATATTTAATATCATATAAAAAACAAATGCTTATATTATTTCATTTTATTTTTCACTAATAGTTTTTTAATGTAGTGATGCAGTTTTAAATTATTTCACAGGTAAATTTAATCTGTAGTAATCTATCAAAAATATAAATGGTTACTTAATGTGATTTTTATGTTTACGTCTACTCGTTATTTTCTTTGCTGGTTCGCATTTTAATAGTATTACCTCCCTATTGTGACTTAGTTACTAGGCTACTTATTAATTGTGTTGCTTCTATTTCCGTTACTTATTTTTTGTGTTTCTTGTGTTTACTAATTGCTTCACCTTCTCTTTACTAGTTAGTTTATCTATTTTTTTAATATTCATTTTTAATATACTTCCATCACATTATGTATTAATTTCAAATGACTCATTTTCTCTAACACTTAATTTTACATTTATAATATGTCGTAGTAGTTTTCTGATCTGGAAATTTCCAGATTCCTTAAATTAATTAACAGTTACTACAAATTTTATGACTTGATAATTTTTTACTTTGAGATTTTGTCTTATACAGCATACAACAGAGTATGGCGTAAATCCCTATGAATATCTGAAGCCAATGAGGTTAATTTGTCTTTTATAGTTTGTCTTTTAACACTTAATTCCTTACCTGCTTACAGAGATCTGGCATGAAATCTTAAGAATTCTAACAGGTCATTAAGGGTTGGTAGTCCCTCTCACTTTAACGTTCTTTCCCACCATCCTGTCATAGAAGAGTGTAATTTAAATTGTACTATTAACATCAAAATAGTATCCATGAATTGTTCTACTTTGAACCCCCAATTCTCAAATGAACATACACATTTTCTCATGATATCTATGAACACTAATAATTGACTGGGATTTTCAGTTTGTAAATGTGATAAATGTAAGATTTTCTTTAACAACCATGTTCTCTGTTATGTATTGTATGTAAATCTCTGTTATGTGAAAATCTTTGACACAGTAAACTCCATGTGATTTCAAAATTTCTATTATAAATAGTTAAAGCCTGAGAAATCCTTAATGCATCTCCCTTTAAAGAACATTGTAAACATTGCAATTTTCGTGCATCCATTAATTTATCATTATCCACTATCACTGTTTTAAATAAATCCAAAAAAATTATAACCATTCTTGAGCACTACCACTAAATATAGGAAACGTTAGATTAGGTAAGCAATGCTCACAATTTCACAAGATTTAGCCTCTACACTGTTATCTTTAACATTTACTGTGGTTAGCATAAAAAATAACTCATTAACATTATCCTGCATATCTTCTTGTTCTTCAATAAACACATCAATATTATCTTGTCAAACCATAACTCTTCACAAACTACAAAAATGTTACTAAAAATATCCAAAATTTCAGTCATTATATTACTTAATTTTGATTTAAAAAGTTCAAACTGAGCGTAATCAGCAGAGTAATAACTCACTGTAATTTTCTCTTTTAGTTTAGTTAACTTAGCCTTAGCTACCTGCTTTTCGTCTTAAGCATTGTAAATTCCATGATCTAGTAACAAACGTGTAGAAATATACTGACTCGCCAATTTCACTACAGTTCCGGCTCAATGGACCTAAATCCTGTGTGTATGATCCATTGTTAATGATTAGTGGACTGTAAAGTTGACTTGTGATTGTAACTCTTCAGTAGAACTTGAAGAAATCTCAGGTTCATAATCTTGGCTGAATCATTTTATTCACTTTTCAGACGTCTTGTTGGCTGAGGAATGGCGACTCAAGAACATGACAAAACTCTTGCTTTAAAAATACATCTCAAAAGAACATCTGCTTCATTAGAACTCCAGCAACCTGAAGCTCCAAGTGCGTGCTTAAGAACTGTAACTATCGGGTCAATCCATACGTTCGTGCGCATTAAGAGTATGTGTGGAATTCATTATGATGCATTTACTAAAACAATACAATTTTGAACCTGTTGAAACTTGCCATCGTTTGTCTAACATATTATTCACTTCATCACCAACTTTCGTAAATATGAAACACATTTTAGTACCCGTAGAAGATGAATATAGATAATCAGGACAAATGTGCTGTGCTACATTTTTTATTTTCGCGAGGTGAATCTGCCAGGTTTGCAGCAATAAAAATTAATAGTGTACATGGCGAACACTCTATTAGTGTAAGGACTGACCAGAAATGGTTTTAAAAAAAGTTGGGAAAAGCAGCATTGATGATGAACCCCGTTCAGGGCATTTTGAACTGTTAGAACCAAATCAAACGATTAATTCAGAAGTTTATAGTGAACAACTTTGTCTTCTAAACTCAGAATTGATCAAAGAAACCCATGATTGGTGAATATTAAGAAAGTGTTGTTTCATCATGATACCGCTAGACTGCATATGGCTCAAACAACGCTGCAAAAAATTAGTGAATTTAATTGGGAGCTTTTGCCACATCCTACTTACTCTCCAGATATTGCCCCAAGTGGTTTTCACTTGTTTTGTGCCTAACAAATTTTTTTACTGGGGAAAAAAATTAAATTCTATACAGGATACACAATGAACTTTCAAGTTTTTTTTCTTTGCATCAAAACCAGAGTCTTTTTACAGCAATGGCATAAAAAAGCTGCCTGTAAGATGGTGAGACATTGTAGATAATGGAGGAAAATATATAATAGATTAAAATGTTAAATTGTGTTTTTTTATATTATTTAAAAATTTACCAAAAATGTGCACAAATTTATGGACTGACCCAATAATTTGTGATTGCACCACTCCTCAGCTCAATGACTAGAAATACAGTTTGCATAACAACAAACAGGCCTTAAACATATAATGTAAAATAACTGAATGTAAATATCCTGTTTGCCATGAGAACTGTCTAAAGTCTTTTCAAACATATACCAGCAATACCGACAGAGGTTTGAAGAAATAGATTGCTTATTCTTTAATTAGATGGTCCTCAGATACAAGTTATGAATATAGTCTAGAGGTATAACATATAAAAACTTTAAATTGTTTATCATAATCTCACTTTGTGTTGCTGTAATTTCAATCTAAAGTTGCATATTGGGCCCATCATCACAACTTTATTCCATAACTTTGAAATTACTCCACTGCATGCTCTTCCATAAAAGTCGGGTCTAAAATTTGATAATTTTTTCCCCTCAACATGAGGGAAATACAGATAAATACTAGTTGCAGCCTTTTTTTACAAAAACTGAATCGACTTATTGAAAATTAAGTGAGTGTATATAAGCATGGTGAAGATTATTTGTGACATCATGCTTATTCATTATTGGCATTGTGTCCAAATCTCCAGCAATTTTTTTTTTCTTTTGTTGAAATTGTCAAAGTAGGAGAGATGCCTATGAGGAATGTTCAGTCTAGGGATAAAATTCTTGGAATAATATGATAGATATGATCGGGAGTACATTAGCAACTTCTGAAAGAGAGCCATGTAAATGTATTCGGATTTTAGATGTTATAAGCAGGGTTTCTGAATAGTAGTCTTATGCATGCTTTTATGATGTCTTTATGAGTCTCTCATTTGCATAACTTTCTGTTTAAAAAAATTCAAGTTTTTAACTATTCCAGTTACTTGTGCTTTCTGTTTGTTAGCTGAATGCTGGAAATTGGTCTTTTACTGCAATAGACTCACAAATGCCAGCAAATAAATTATACGTAATCGTAATTTTGCACATTCTGTTTATAGTACACTATATTACCAGTTAATGAAAATTTTAATTAAAATTTATTTTTATCCAGAAAAAAAAATTCCACTTCTAGTACATCTTTAGGCATTAACTGCAGTCTGATTTGCAAGTTTGTTGATTTGTATCATTTTTAAAGTGTTTAAAGTTCATGTTAAATCATATTCTTTTTCCCCATGTAGAATGAGAAGTTGAAAAAAGTGGAAGCTTTAACAGAAGAAAAAAAAATCTTATTAGCACATAAAAAATAACAGATTGGGCCTTTTTTTTAAAAAATTTTTTCCAAGGCTTGAATCTGAAGTAAAAAATTACTATTTTGACATCATAGAGCAACATTCAGACCAAACTGTAGAGGATACTTGAGGAACTTAGTATTCCAACTAATGTAATTGCTGGAATCGGAACTGTAGATTCTGAAATTTGGCTGACCTTATTTTTTAATCACTGTATGACAGCTATACTTTTTCTGTGTGTTTATGAACAAAAATTTTTTATGATGCTTATGACTATTTTTATTTTTAGGAAATTTTTATATTCTTTATGTGAAGAATTAAGTGACCATGATGTAAAAGCACTAGGTGATAAATACATTGGGCAGTTATCAAGGAGTGATCCAATGTCTGCAGAAGAACTCATCTTCTGTTTAACAAGGCCACATAAATCTTATTATGACAGTTTGGTGCAGCTAGAAAAAATATTCCAAGATTTTAATCTTTCCCTCTGTAATTTAATCAAATCGTTTAAAGGTATGTTTATAACAAAACATTAAATGTACTGTGCATGTTATTAACCCCTTAACTGCCGTGGGCGTATATATACGCCTTGCTCAGCCGATGCGTTAACTGCCCCAGATGTGCCCAGATGCGCAGCCGATGCATTAACTTTGCGAATAATTTTAGGTGTAGCAGCGCAAAGCAAATGATAGCAGTTTGGAAGGACGTATATATACGCCTGGGGCAGTTAATGCATCGGCTGAGCAAGGCGTATATATACGCCCGCGGCAGTTAAGGGGTTAATTAAAGATTAAGTAGAAAAAAATATGTTCTTTGGAAAAAATTAAATGCTGGTTGACTTTGTTTGATTTTGCATACACCTTGTATTTTAAATAAAAAGTCATGTTTGTATAATGGCTTCCTTGGCTCAGGCGAATGGAGTTTGCTATTAATGAGGTCCCCTGCAGAAGCCCTATCCCAGCATCCCAGGAAAAAATGGATGAATAAAATAACTATTAATTAAATTAAAATTGAGCAAAATGTAAAAATATAAATAAAAATTTAATAAATTATAAAATGTATGACAAATAGTTAAATAAAAGAAAGGAAACATTGGACCTTATCTCATTTAGGGCTTCGGCTGCACTTACAAGGTGTTTGTACGGTCCTTAAGAGTCCTTAAAAGTCCTTAATTTCAGCCAAAACTGAGAGAAGGTCCTTAATTTTAATCATGTGAAATTTCTGTCTGTTTTTACAACTGAAATTTTGAGTGTGAATTGCCATTTTGGAGGTGTATTTTTGGCGATTCACTGAGAAATATGGTTTTCTTTTGAATGGGTTATAATATGTTTCTATTTCTAATATAAATGGTGGGATACTCGAGTTTCTAAGCAAGAAGTGAAACATAAGCATTTCGAAATTGTTTCACTTTTTCTAATGAAGAGATTCTAAACAATTTTTAGCTTGTGGGGATGGGACGGCTCTATTCAGTTTCTATAGTAAATTTTTAATTCCAAGATCTGGCAATTTTTCGACGATTTCATGTAAATCCATAATGACTAAGGTTATCTAACTACCTAATTCAATTATTTATATTAACCTGTTGTCCTGCTTTTAGTTAGAAATGTGAATATCATTTTAACTCTACGAATGCTTACCTAACAGATCTCATTGGCAGCATTGCAGGTTCATTTCAACAATTCATCTGATACAATGTGTTTGTGAAATTTAGATTTTATTAACCATTCGTTTGGTGCATAATAAACTTCAAGGTTTTGTGCCATTAAAAGTCAACCAACCAACCATCAATTATTTATAACTGCTTACCCTTAAAAATTATCTCTGCATATTAAAGCGGGCTATTGCCTTTCATTAATCCTTACCATGGTGCAAGATAAAACACAATGTAAAAATTCATCTAAAACTTATTCTTTGTATCTAGTGAGACCTAAAATAATACAAAGCAATTTAGTATCACCTCAGGTGCTTTAGTGGCTTATTGGAACCTTAAAATATGTTAACTGGGTTACAACTAAGGTTCCCACCTCTCCCGGAATTCTGGAATTCTCCCGGAATTAGGCCCTGAAAATTAAAATCTCCTGGCTCCCGGAAGGAATTTAAAATAAATATTACTCTCCCGGAATATCAGGTTTCTCGGAAATAACAATACTATGCGCACGGACGAAATTGTTGAGAGAGCATCGAAAATGACACGACCACGCACAACAGCCAAAGAATGTGTATTTCAATACATATTCTTTGCAGCAGTGTTCTACGGTGAGAGTAAGCACTTTACGGATGAGTCGTGGTTTCATGCGGCCGTGTCGCGCTTATGCGCCCTCATCCCCCTCACCCTCTCATTTTCAATCCATTCTTTAATTTAGTTTGCAATTAGCTAGCTAGCCACGAAAAAGTGCGTATTTTGAAATTATTTAAACGCTGTCATAATAACGTCTAGTGAAAAAAATGACTCTGATTCTGCAAGTGAACAAGTGCCACCAAAAAAAAAAAAAAAATATTCAACATCGTTTCAAGACAAGTGGTTAACTTAATTTGATTGGCTTATGAAGAGAGACAATTGTAACGGAGAATGTAAATTATGTCAGAAAACGGTTAATATTAAGTGCGAGGGTGTTAGAGTAGTGACTTTAACCTAACTGTACATTACCAAAGCAAGAAACACCAATCGTTAATATTGAATAGGGATTCTTGGCAATCGGTTTTGAACATTTTGGTAAAGAAATCTTCGAAAGAAAAGGACAATATATCAGCAATTGAAATTACTTCAGTCTATGATAGCAATAAGGACCATCACACTTTTAATAGCCAGGATTGCACAAACAAATTGTATAGCACTCTATTTCTAGATTCTTCTTTGGCAAAATGATTTCTTGTGGTAGAACGAAATGTACAAGTATTTGCGAGAGTGTGCTTGCTCCTGCAGCTCAAAAAATACTTTTAAATGAGATTCAGGAGGCCGATTTTTCTTCAGTTGCGACTGCCAAAGAAACATTTTTTCTTCTCCCGGAAACTTTTTTCCTCTCCCGGATTTTGACAGTCAAAAGGTGGAACCGCTAGACCCTTGGAACTCTACACGAAGCTATGACACAAACTGCATCAAACAGAGCCCAACTAACTTTCAAAACTTGCCAACCGTGCCCACATCAGGCCTTTCAGTTTTGTTCTGATCATCAGGTCTCTCTCTTTAGGCAAGAGCAGCAGTGACAATAGCCATTCTTTTGTTATAAATCATTCTGATTATGATTTTACTTCTCATTTTAACCTATGCGGCTTGACATAAAATCTACCTCCTCTTTACTAAACCTCTTGATTGAGCAAGTATGTGACAAAATGAGACGTTTAAAAAAAAAAAAAAAAAAAAAAAAAAAAAAAAACATGAAACTAACTATTAGTAAAACGTAAATAAAATGTCATTTATCTTCTCTCAAATATGCCGAACTATTATAAGTGTATAATATTTAATGCTATTTGATAAATTGCGTAAAGTATATTTTATTCTCAAACTTATTAATAATTATGTTAAGTGATGTTTAATAATAATGCATCCTAATTACCGATCTGTTTTATTTTTTTGGATGCTATTAGAAAAGTGAAGTTCAATTAGAGATAATATTTTTAATTGAATTTATTAATTTGCTATTTGCTCATAGGTCCTTAATTTTTTTCATTAATGGTCCTTAAAAGTGCTTAATTTTCATGTGCAGATATGTGTACGAACCCTGTTACAGTTTCATTCAAAAATAGCTCAGCCAGCATCCAGCTAAATTTAAGCTCTGAATATGCAATGTAATGTACTACAGATGGAGGACTAAATAATACGAACACCTGTGAAATAATGGAAAATCTTTATTAATAGGGAGTTGGACCACCCTTTGACTGAAGTACAGATTGAATGTGACGTGGGGTAGATGCACAAAGGTCATGGACAATATTTAAAGGAATAAGCCATTCCTCCTGCAGAGCATTCACTAATTCCGAAAGTCTGGATGGAGGTGAAAATCAGGAACGAAGTTTGGACTCCAAATATGCCCATAAATGTTCAATAATATTCAAGTCCGGAGACTTGGCCAAGTGAGATGTTCAATTGCATCATCATGCTCATCGAACCATTCTTGAATAAACCTAGCAGTGTGAATAGGGGCGTTGTCGTCCTGAAAAAGCGGTCGCTCCCCAGGGAATACAGGCTGGACAAAAGGATGGAAATGAACCCCGAGAATGCTTAGATAGTGATTAGATGGGATCCTCCCATGCAGAATAACAAATAGCCCAAGATCACGTCAAGATATCGCACCCCATATCATAATGGCGCCACCCCTATGCTTCACAGTCGGCAAGAGGCAGTCAGGATGAAACGCTTCTTTGGGCGTTCTCTAGACATAAACATGTCCGGTCGTCTGAAATAGGGTGAATAACGATTCATCTGACCATATTACCTGTTGCCACTGCTGTGGGGTCCATGCAATGCAGGTGACCGCTGTTGAGAGACTGATGCCTTCCTCTTCATGCTCACTAGGTGGCAGATTTCTGTTGCAAGGTGTGAAATACGTCATACTTTTTCACGGGTGTTCACATTATTTTGTTCACCATCTGTATTTCAAGAAACAAAAGCTAGTGTTTCTGCAGCACACCTGTGGAAAAATGTAAAATGACTAAAGCATCACTAATGAGAATAGAGATAATACCAGAAACAGTATGACAGTGTGGAAGGAAATTTTAACAGAGAAGTGTAGCTTCGAAAACAGGAAAAGGAGAGTCGAGTGTTTTCTGACCCTGGTGCACTGCGGATATATAACTAACTGTCAAGCAATCCCCCCCGAATCCGATCCAGTAACAACGTAAGAACAAATGCACGTTACCAGTTTTGATCCTCTGCATTTAGTTACATAGTTCAAATGTCTGCAGTGGGAGGTCATTAGCACTAGACTTGCACGACTGAAATGTAATAACTGTCAGTACTTTTGGAAACAAAAATTTTACCTTCTCTCATGAATTCATTCCATTATCTGGCGAACAAGCCTCTGACATGGCAGTGGGGGGGGGTTGTTTTCTTAAAAGTTTTACTTTAAAACTTTTTTTTACAAATGGCTGGCACTTGCCTATAACGGCATTGGCCACTACTAAGGCCAAAAGTGATAGCCATTTTATTATGCAGGCACACAAAAGGCGACCACCATTACCTATTATGAAGGGACAGACAATTTTAAATCCATGTCTTCGCCAAGATTCAAACCCGGGCCCTATGGTATCGCAGTCAGGCTTCCCTAACCAGTATACCATCTGGGCGGCTTCTTACTTTAAAACTTTCAACCTCCTTCAAAGTGTTTGTTCCTTAAGGAAAGACAGGCATGCATTCAGAAGTTAGAATTGATTTTTAACCCTGTTGCTGCGCATCCCACATTTCCACGGGCAATGTAAAAGTAACAAAATTTGCAAAACCTACGATTTCCGTGCGGATGAATTTTTGCCATCTATTTAACTGTGCATCCCGCTCTTTCCCCGTTCAAGGTTTCCTT